TATACAAATACCTTAAATACCTTTAAAGTATTGAAATCATTGGCAGTATAACGTCAGTGTAATTAATTGTTACTCTTTTCCTCTCCAGCCCTGGAGAAGCTCCATGCCCAGCCGTCCTCCAGCTGTGGCCCAGTGGAGGTGGCCCTTCCTGGGCTGGTGTTCGACCTGAGCTCCCTGGTCCTGTACGGAGCTCAGGCCGTCCCAGTTCGTCTGAAGATTCTGTTGGATCGTGTCTACAGCGTGCTGACCCCAGAGCAGGTGCACCCAGTTATCTGATGCGAATGTTGAGGAGTAATAGATTACATTCACTGTGTAACAGATTACATCATGTGTTTCTTCAGGTCGGCCACATCCTGCACGCACTGGGCTGGAGTTTGGGAGATTATGTCCGAGGGTACATGCTGCAGGTGACTGTCTCCACCTCCTCCCGTCGCTCAGACTCAAATCTAAACTTGCACATGAATTGAAACTCACACTTGTTGTAAAGTTTTGCCAACGTTCAAATTAGCGTGAATGTAATTTCTTGTCTCCAGAATCCCGGTGGGAAGGTGTTGGACCGCTGGATGATGGTGACTCCTGAAGAGGAGCTGCTCATCCTCAAACAGTTCCTTCGCTTTGGCGAGACCCGCCCCATCGTTGAGCTGATGACGCTTCAGTGCCTGACAGCTGTCAATTGCCTCTCAGATCCGCAGCTAAGGCCCGCCCCAAAGAGCTGCCAGTCAAACATCAGCACGTTCATTGAGTGTAACAGAGGAACGCCAGGGAAGTTCAGGAGCCCGAGAGAAGACTCACATTTAGTGGCTGGCGTCTGTCGTTTTGAGAAAAGCGGTGTCGCTGACGGCACAGACACGATCCATCATTTTGAAAACTCTCAGAGCGGACTGTCTTTGCTTCTGCCTTTCCATTTTCCAAGCTCCACCTTCCCGTGTTTGGTTCCTGCCACCAAGGTTAGTAAATGACTGATCCTGAACACATCACTGTTGTCGGGCAGAAACGTTCCTATGCTTCATTGTCCTGCAGCTAGAAACAGTTCATGACCTGATGTTTGCGCTTCTTGTTTAGGACTGATCAGATCCCTGATGGTTTTGCGTGAATCTAAATTGCCTTGTGTGTTTTTGATAAACAGAGACGCAGGCAGGACGAAGAAAGAGACGTTCAAGGGAACGGTTCAATCCCGCAGCAAACCAAAGATGATCAAGCTTTAAAAATCAAAGCCGATCCAGACAAGCTGAACCCAGCCCAGTCACTGTGGCAACCGAACCCTCGCATCCACAGCGACGAGGAGCTTGACCTGGGCAAACAGGAGAACACCTCCTCACACTCCACTTTTTTAAACTCTTCATTCATCCCTGTGTCTTCCTCACGCCATCCGTCCATTTCCTCCTCTTCCTCCTCTCCTCCAAAGATTTACCAGAAATTGCAAGGCTCCTCTCCCTCCTTGTTTCATCCTCTCCCATCCTTTTCCTCCTCTTTTCTCTGTCCCATTCCTGCCTCCTCCTTTTCGTCACCCCTCCCTCCTCTGCCGCCCTCGTCTTCCTCCCTCCATCCTGTCCAATCTTCCCCTTGCTCCGTACCTTCTCCTTCTTCTGCAGGAGGTCGGAAAGGAAGGGTCTGTTGTGGCGTTTGTGGGAAAAGCTTCTATGACAAAGGTAGGAATGTGATGAGATGTCTCACTCTGTCCCTGTGGTTTGGGTTTTTCTAAGGTTCAAATCCAAAAAAGTCTCTGAGGTTCGATTTGAGATCCTCTACTGATATCGTGTCTTTGAATTCCAGGCCTGCTACTTCTCTTGTGTCAATGGAGATTCATTTAATGTCTTCACTCTTTTTGTCCTGGGGATCTAAGAGGTTCCATTTGAAGCCTTCCAGTCGTGTTTCAGTGTCTCTGAGTTCCACACAAAGCAATTTGAGATGCCCTTCTCAATCCTTCTTCACCTCCAACCAATTATCTCTTGGATTTCATGTTGATATTTCCCCACCGGTGTGTTGCCCCAGTTTTCTCTAAATGGGCACATTCTGACACAGATTGTTGACAACAACTCATTTACGTTTTTGTCAGAGAGGAATCGTATCTGCCATTGTCATGAATTATTTGGTTTGATTGTTTTCTTCTTAAGTAGTTTCCATCTCACGAATGGCGAATGGCTGATTTCGGGTCAGTTGTAACCAGGACATCATTCTCCTTCTGTTTTTGCAGGAACGCTGAAGATCCACTACAACGCTGTGCACCTGAAGATCAAACATAGCTGCACGGTGGCGGGCTGCACCATGGTCTTTAGCTCGCTGCGAAGTCGAAACCGCCACAGCGCCAACCCAAACCCACGGCTACACACCGGTTCTGTCAGAGACCCACATCCCCATCGAAACACACAGCCCGAAGCACACACACGGGAAAAAGAAAGAAGCAAAACAGTTTGGCAACCGGATGACGACACACACAGACTAGTGCATGTACACAACTTCAGAAACGGGTTGAACCGTCAGTCAAACCTCCACCGGGACAACATGTCCTCTGACTCCCCTCTGCCTTCCCCTCACCCTCCACCGCTGGTCAACAGCCAAAACTTCACCCAGAGTGACTCCAGCTGCAGATCCGACCTGCACCTCCAGGTGCTGCCTCACCCTCCACCCCGAGTTCAAGCTCTCAGTGCTTCCTCTGTGGGCTCAACATCCCTCGTCTCTGCTCCTGCAGCGGAGATAACCGAACCCTGTCGACACCTTCTGGGCCTCAACACCAACCACACTGCACCTGCCCCCCTCCACGACCAGGCCCCTGTTGCCATGGAAAACTGCAACACGCAATATGGCCGCACCGAAGGAAAACACGACGAGATAGCCACTCAGCAGCAGTGGGAGTCCGGTGACTCCATTCCAAAGAAGAAGCCCAGGAAGTCGAGCATGCCGGTGAAAATAGAAAGAGTGAAGCAGGAGGGGAGGAGAAACGTGGAGGGGGAGGAGGGCTGAAGTTCTTTTGTTTCACAAAGAGTTTTTGTACATACAATCAAGTGTAAATATATACGATCTTATCCCCAAACTCAAACAATTATTGCATCTTATGACCAATTTATTTTCAAACATACTCCAGACATGATGTGCTGCATTACTGGGACGTTACCATCACACACACACGGTCAGAGGTCAGAGGTGGGAACGGACCCTGTGTCGTGAAATAGTTGAAAGAAACTTTGCGAAGCTGAAGATGATATTTCACCTAGTTTTTAATGTTGAAAATCATTCTGAGATATTCAGAGTGCAAACAAGGAAAGACAGTCACAGTGACGTCAGACACATGTCAAGCTTTTCCCCTACAATGTCCCCTCAGGACGAACTGTATAGATTTTTATTCTGTACTGAAAATAACGTGTGAATCCTTTAAACTGTCTCCACCACGATAAATGTGTGTTTACAGCACGCTGCTGCGTGCAGGGGCTCCCTCCTGTGGTTGTAATCTGTTATTACAATAATGACTGTTAATTGTAATAAACTTTTACTTATGTGGGATTCTAACTGTAGAGTTA